AGAAAGAAAGAAAGAAAGAAAGAAAGAAAGAAAGAAAGAAAGAAAGAAAGAAAGAAAGAAAGAAAGAAAGAAAGAAAGAAAGAAAGAAAGAAGCAAAAATCGCAAACCCCACCAAACAAAAAACCCACAACCCCACCATTGTAGAGTACTCCACAGTGCATATTTCTCACAGGACGCACAGTCATCCTGGAAATACATGTTATCCTTGTTTATATGCTTTCAATACTAAAAAACCCTCTGTGCTCAATCACCTGACTCTTACTGTCCAACAGTATCATGTACTCCCAGGGCACAACATCACCAGTTGTACACAAAGCTGTATTGCAGACTGATACTGCAAATACAGATACACATGAATGTTCTGCATGTGTCAGATGAAGGACATAAGGAGAACTGGGAAATATTTTAAAAGCAGCTACAGTCTTTATTAGCAAAATCCCATGCTTGAGATGCACTCTTTTTTCCTAATAATAATGATGTTTGGCTACATATAAAGCAAGCTATTCCTTCCTCATGTCCTTATGTTCATTTGTTTAACATAGTAAATGGAAATAAACTTTACAGAATCTTCATCTAAGAATCCCAGAATGTTTAAATAAGGTCCATCTGACTAAACTGAAAAATAATCTGAGAAAACTCCTAGACAGATAATGGAGTAATCCACAAATCCCGGATTTTAATCCTCTTTAATTTTCTAATAAAATTATTTACACTGGTTACAAAGACCTGCAACTGCATTTAAGAAAAGTACATGAAAGGTCCAGTGAAACTGTAATTTCTTTGTAAGGTGTCCCTGAAGATCTCAAATCCTTGTCAAAACTTCGTACTATTGCACAAGAAAATCTGAATACAAAGTTATTCTGTACCAAAAGACTGGACTGTTCTCATAGTAAATTCTACTCATTAAGTTCCTGGTAACCTTACAGAAAGGTATTTCTATTGGTTGATATTCCTCCACTGTGTAGTTTGAAAGATATGTATTAGAATACATATGTATTTGCATTTTTGTCAGAAATACTTTCAATATAAAGCCAAGTTTCACTTTAAAGAAATTTCACTCATTAATATTTTGAGCACATTAATCTACAGACAAATTTTCATCAAACCTGATAAAACGTGGAGACTAACTCATTAGTAAACTCAACTGAAGAGTATTTTTCTCCCATAATTATTTTTAATGTATCTTACCTTTACAGAGTAAGCCAGAGAAATAGTGACAGCAAGTGGAAGTCCCTCAGGAACAGCAACCACAAGTACAGTAACACCAATAATGAAGAATTTAACAAAATACTGAACATAGACAGGAGTGCACTCAGGCAACCACTGTTTCTTGTTGACCACAAATGTGTCAATGGCAAAATATAGTACCAAAATTATTACAGTGATGGCAGACATCACCAAACCTGCAAATAGAAATAATCAATTACTATAAAACAAAAGTAAAACCATGAGCAATTAGAAATCTACATTTGAATTTGATATGTAATTATTTTCTTATTCTACGTGACATTTTTCACCAGTACCAGTAATGATGATGATGATAAATTTTGCAATGTAGAAAAAAACATTACTATAATGCATTTACTACCACCACACATTCCAGTGAATAAACACTGAATTGTACAGAACAGCTGAATCACACTGCATTAATTTTTATGCATCATCTTACTTCTGCCTTTAAAACTTCTCAGTTACCCTAATTCAACAGGAATTCTGCTGTTGCGAAGTTTTTTCAATTTAGTACATTACTTTGCCTGGTACAACGTTTATCTGTCCTTTTAACCTCCGCCTTTTACCAATGACTACTCTATATTCAAACATTCATCTTTCTTTTAAATAAGTTTATCTTAAGAGGCTTGAAAAAAGGAGTCTCCTGTAGTTTATGTTGCTGTAGAAAATATTTTAGAAAAGCCCTACTGATGTGTCTGGTTGAATACAATGAGGCAATGCTGCAGAATCATCTACAGAACATATTTTAACTTTTTCTTGAAAATGTGGTAAGTAACAGTGTTTCCAAGGTTTCCCATTTCAAAGGGACATATGCAAACTGCACATTTTTATGAGGAGAGGCTGAAAAGAGGTACAACACCGACCGCACAGCACAAGAGACACTAGTAAGTATTTCTCAGAATTCACAAAATATCCCAGGATTTAATATGCTCTCCCAATGACACAGACTTTGATGAGATAGCACTCTTCCTCCACAATTTTGTTCCTGGATTTGAGTAAAGAAATAAAAACTGCACTAGAACATCTATTTTGCTTTGCTCTTGGTCAGGTTTCTATGAAGCAATTAAGCCTGCATTTCAAAATAAATTAAGTTCTCTCTAACGAGATCATACAGGAGAAGGAGAATGCTGTGAATTTCATGCCTTGACAGAAGTTTAAAAAAAAACATTGGTAAGCTGAAGGATGCTAAGGTTGACAGGAAACAGATGAGTCTGAGAGATCACTAAATGCCAGAGGATAAAGGAAAATCCATTAAAATACTGTACAGGCAAATACTCATGACACAAGACATCCCCATAGACTGCCCAATGACAAAGAAAAACCAAATGAGGCAATGATTAATTAATTTAATTCATATTACTTGCCACATTATGGTTAGAAATCCCTATACAATTACTTTAAAATTGATATTCACATGCCTGCCAAAATACCAAGGAGAGTAATAATCAGAAAGCAATGTAGAAAGGTAGTTAATCTAAGAAATTAATGATCATGAGAAATGAAGTGCTTTTATATCAATGCATACTGTTGTGCAGCTAGCAACACAGCAGAGAAGCCTGAGGAATACAAAACTGGGCCACGCATGAATTCAGATATTAAAGACATGGTAACCACACATTCCAAGTCATGCACTGTTCAGGTAAAGAGACAGAAGTGGCATCATGGGGTTATGTGATCAACTAAGTGCAATGAACTTAAAAACAAATAAGGAATAGCAGGGGTAAAATACAGACTGGTAAAGAAAGGATGAAGGAGATTGAACAGTTAAGAATCTGTTGTAGGGCCTCAGCCCTACAGGGCTCTATCCAGGATCCAGACAGAGATCAAGATCTCTTCAATAGCACTAGAAAAATGAACCTAATGACCATTATGTCGTTATGGAAGATTTTCACTTTCTACCTACATGTTGCAGATGAACTGCTACTTATAACAGTAGGGACCAGATGGTACTGGATACAAGAGTCAACAGATGTGTCGTATTTGGGTAGAAAGCAGGAACATGGATATTGAGAGAAGAAAATGATTTCAGAATCCATAAGAGGGAAATACTGTGTGAGTGATATTTTGAGATGAAATTAGAGATTCTGAAACTGTGTACTCAGAAGTTCTAAGGGGAGAGGAAATCAAATATGTAATTACTGCACTTGGGAATATTGACTATGAGAAAAGCTACATTTCATTTTGATTCAAATATTCATTACAATCCAAGTTGCCCAAAGCTTCCAGTTTCGTGACAAAGCTAAGTTTCAGAAGAACGGATCTTTAATACCACATACTATCCTTAAAACAGTATGATGACCTATTTCTAAATAATGCAGTAAAAAAGGTCTATCCCTTTTAAGAATAATTTGCTTTAAAACCCTTTGTTGCTAGTACAACACACTGATTCAGTCATACCTGCTTTGCCTATCTGGACTGCCAGCTTGGTCAGCTTTCCCTGAAGAACAGATTTTTCTTTCTTGTGCATGTTGGATTTCTTCTTGTCTTTGTCATCTCCCTCTCCCCCTTCTGCGCTCTTCAGTGGCTGCATCTCCATGGCAGCAGCCCCATCCTGCTGCTTGGCTAATAATGCAGAACAAAACTGTTACTCCAAAACTACTCTTTATTCTTTTTTTTTTTTTTTTTTTTTTAGTTTTTTTTTTTTAGTGTTGATACTTACTGAATTCAACCAGCACTCGTTGCAGGGGCTGATGGCAACACAGAAGATTGTAACTATACATAGAATTATACTTGCTTCTGTGGCAGAGAGATGCCCCTATGAGACCCAGTGAGGTTCTGCAGAGGCACGGATGTACAAGAATATCCATGTGCACTCCATACATACGGGGATATGTACTGTGCTGTTTGTCAAGTACCATGAAACCCATTGATTTTTACTTATTTCTTTATTTTTTAAGCCACCAATGACATTCTGTGTTATACACATACATATCACTTAATGTCTTGCAAATTACTTGGCAAGTAACAGTACGTCGGTACTGCAGGGATTCCTAGAATAGCAGATCTCAAATGCTTTGGCAAATCGTCTCTATTTCTCTAAATTTTAGTATCTCATAGATTACAATGCACCCTTATAATCATATTTTTAATGAAAACATTTTAAAGGTAATGTGGTTCCACAGATGATCCATGCACCACTTCTCCTGACTGCATGGGCACCTCAGTGACCACTGGACCTTTGCAAACCACTATTCTAGAGAATACCAGACTTCAAAAGTTTCCTTAGCATTCAGTGTTCAGGTAACAACCATCAGGTACAATGGTGATACCATCTTCACTCCACCATAAAAAATGCACAAAATTTAAAGGCCAAACCATTCTTTCTTGAAAGAATGCTATGGCTAATATAAGGAAACTTTAAAGAAGACATGTTTTTTTAAAAGCAATTATATTCCAGTTTATATATGTGTATGTTTCTGTTTTGTGTTGGACACAGACATAAGTAAATAAAATAGAATGAGATGAAATAGAATTGCTTTGATATTCATGAACAGATTGTACAAAACCATGCTTATTTGACCTGGAAATCTAATTCATCTATCTAACCTTAAAACTTATTAATTTAATGTCATTTTATTTAATAGTTTTGCACCATTAACCACTGAGTTTATCTATTCAGTTTCTGATCCATAACCTTTGCAATCTTAGTATTATCTGAGCAGATATAGTTTAATTTACTTATTTGGCATAGCCCAAAGAAATCACAATAGCCGTGTTTCATATAATAAAAAGGAAACTATGACTTTGCTTCAGAGAAAGCAAAATATTTATTTCCATTTCTTCCTGAGACTGTACATTAAATAAGAAACTCCTAAGATCCTTAATCTTCCTGCTATTTATCTTTATAATATTCTTTTACATTGCTAAATAACCTCTTGGCTTTAAAGTTTCCTTTTGTTATTGCTTTACCTTCTCCCTGCAAAAGAAAATACATCCGTACAACGCCATTACACACCAAGGATGACAAGACGTCAAAAATAATGTTGGAAATTCACTAACAGTACAGAGCATACATAACTTGCACAAGAAAAATAAATTCAAATGAGCTTTGTGACATGAAAGTATCATCTGTAAATGGCTTATTAGAAATACTGATCTTGGCCTATCCTAAAGATATATCTGATGTATCAAAATTCTGTAAAAGTTGCAATCTGCTTGGTAAGGTGTTTTTTTGGGGGGGTTTGGTTGTTTGGGTTTTTTTTAACATTCTGTTTGAATGAACAATAGGGCCATTTTTACACACAGGCACAAATCACAAGTTTTCATTTCATTTTTTAACAGAATTTATCTACACGCTAAAAACAAAATTCACAACCTCCTTAATATGAAAGAAGATTACCTTTGTTCTGGCTGTTCTCCATATTCCCATCCTGCATTTTGCCTATATGATGAAAAATTTCAACAGACAACAGACAGTAAACAATCTTCACTCAAGACAGAACATGAAAATGGGAATTTAAATAAAAAGGGCAGACAAAAGTAATGAGCATGTTACAGATACTTATTTATGATCAGTAACCATTGTAACCATATGTTTACTTAGAAGCATGGACAACTTAGCTGGACACATTCAAGGAACTGCAGTCAAGTCAAGTTTGATGTTGCAACATGTAAAATACTAAGTACCAGCACATATTTTTGAGCAAACTGTGTAAATTAAGAGGCTGAAACTAATAAAAAGAAGCCAGTGGAAAGCAGAATTTGAATAATATTCCTGAACTGAAATTTCAGAAAGCTGGCACACATCAGTATAAAGTACAACTTCCTTAATGTATTCCAGAATTAAATTAATTATTTTACAAAACTAAGACAAAATATAAATAACAATATTACTAAATATTTTGTTTAAATGTAAATCAGATATAGTTTTTAAATTACATCTTCCCTACCTGGCTGAGTTATTTAGCTGTAAATACAAGTGCCAGGTGATCATCCTATATTCAGATTTATCCTAAAGAAAATTTGCCAAGCGCATCTGTAATTCCCAGTTTAGTATTTTAGCTACATATACTCTTACCATACCAAAGTCCTTACTTGATTTTTTTAAACCAAATATATATCATTTGAAAGTGTTAGGGAAATAAAAATGGCAAAATAAAAATTAGAGGATACAAAACTTTGTTATTCAGAATAACCAGTAAACAATTTGAAATGTATTCAAAATTTCTGGGTGGGTTCCCTTATGAAACTTTCACAGTGATACATGAATTTATCTTATGGAAAAGACTACTTGAGTTTTATAAATATTACCTTCAGAATGGATGACATTCTCTTTTTGTATATTGTATAATCTTGTAGTTGTGTGTTGTATAATGCATGATAAAAAATAACACTAAGCAAAATTAATAATTGAAGCACTTTTACAGGATTTCCGATACATTCTAATAAGAAATATATCAGAGTTTATTGAAAAATGTAACAGTAGTTAAGTCCTGCTCTTTTGATTTCCTGCAATAGTACAGCTGGTATAATAAAGCAACAAAAATTATGCTTCAACATATGTATTAATTATTTCACTCTATGCTGTGAATAAATAGCAGCAAAATTGAAAGGCTAAGATGCATTTCTTGCATGTTTGTATGTTCAGTAATTGGGAGATCACTAAAAACTTCCCTCTCAAAATGAGCAAAAATTACCAAATCACTCATAAATTTATCATCATAACATTTCACCCCTACTAATATACTACAGGCACCGAGAAATTCAAAAGCACAGAATTACAGTAAAGGATGTCTCGCTACATATAGTCATCTCAATACTCAGATAGATTACTAAAGTATGCTGAAGTAAACCATTTAGCATGAACTGCATGTCTAACTATTCCCACCTTGGCTAGAATATGACTTTTAAAAAGGCAGTATCTATCTTCCAAAGACATGTTTTGCCATAAGACACAAATCTATGAACCTGAACAAACCCAAGTTCATTTTCATTGTGAAATTTCCTTAAAAATTTTTGCCTACAATGCATAGTTGAAGTTCATATCTGCCTAATGGCTATTTTTCTTAGAATGGTTTTTAATAAAGCTAGTGGAAGACTAGAGATCTAGTCTACATAGAGATCTAGTCTCTCTACCCAGAAATCTAGAGATTCTGATTTCTGGCTACTGGATTAAGCCTTCCTTAAAAGCTGGAAAACATTAATTTAGAGCAGACAGTCTGCTCTATAGTTCCTTTTTCAGAATACAATTCAAAACCTTAAAGCAGTATAATTGCAAATTCTTCTACCAAAAAAAAAAAAAAAAGCCCCAAACCATGGCTTTCATAACTAGCAAGCAAAAAATACACTGTTTTTTCTATGTAAATCAAAGTATTTATCTTTATGGTATATATATCTGCTATTTATTAGGGGTATCATAACTGCTGTAATTAATTACACTAACAATTCATCTACCCCAGGCACCTAAAAATACCAGTACATAAAATGGACAATTCTTAACAACAGTGTAAACACAGGTATTTAGGAAATGTGTTCTTAACCTTAGCAACTACTGCATGTAGGTTACTGGAGGGGGGGAGTCATCACAGCTAGTTATATTCCAGTTATTCAGATAAAATAACAAAGAATAGGTAATTTAGGTCATTATAATAAAGAAAAGAATGCTGTAAAGGATTTCTTTCCTCCTGTTCCAAATAATTTTAAGCCTGCACTTGACATAAAATATGAACAAAGAAAGAAATTAAGATGACAGAATCACTACTGCTGAAAGATCCTTTCTCCTTTCAGTTAGTGCTAGGACCAGAAATACTATCCCATCTTTCTGACCTTTATACATTTTTTAGAAACATTAAAAGGATGAGCATTTATCAATATTTTTATAATGGTTTTATATATAATTCTTCAAAAAATAGTATATTTTACAACATTTTGCAAATGCTTTCTTCCTTTTGGAAATAAGTAAGTAAAAGAAACAGTGTTTGGGCCCTGAAATCTAGAGAGATTCATCTGAGTTTATTTTTATCATTTTTCTGAGCAAGGATGAAAAATCAGAAGGTTTAGACAAGAATATAAGCTTCCTAATATGACTTGTCTTCTGCAGTTGCTTTGAAGGTTTTGAATTTGAATACAAAATGTTTTGCATGTTGCCTTGTCTTACTAAAATTTCTGTCTTTTGGAACATACCCATGGCACCATTACTGCTGATGTTCTTACTCCAAAAGACAGTTACTCCTTCAAATATACTTTCCAAGAAAAGACTCCCCCAGCCTTTACCTCACCCACCCCTTTATAAAGAGTCAACAAGACAGAATAACAAAGACTTATCACTGTCATTAGAAATTATTTGTACACTGGAGTAGCTGCTTGGAATCAGCTGAAAAAGCTAATTGAGTTATGTCCTTATGTGCCATGATAGATGAAAAGAGTATAAAATACCCTACTGATTTTCCAAAATGTCTCATGTTGCAATAGAAATGAGTTACAGCCCTCTTCATGCCAAGTCAGTTATATTCTGCAGCTAGTAAGGACAGACGCACATTGCAAATCTATATATGGGGGGAAAGTGACATCAAACATTTCTGAAGTGAATCATTAGGAATTCTCTCATGCAGTGTCATATCAGAGCCAATGCATCAGTAAAACATAGGTTAATTACAAAAGAATAAATCTGATTCCATTGTATCAAATAGAAAGTTTTAGATAATTCTTCTGTGCACTCAGTAAATCACTTAAAATTCAGAAAATACTTTAAAATGTATTAAAACTGCAAATTGCCTTGCAGAAATTGAGCAGTAATGTACATACGCTAGAACTGACAGAATTAACAGTAGATGTAAAGTATTTCAGCTGAGCCATTTCTCTGAGCCTGGTATGGTATTTCTACATCAGAATACAATTTTAAGTAACAAATTCTCTGAGTACCAAATGCCAAAAACTCAATGTGGAAATCCTGACTTAGGAATTGGGGAGTGCTCTACTGGATGATAATAAGCAGTCCTTTCTCTAAGTAAATCAGATCTGGGGTATCTGAGCTGTAAACAGTGACTGCTGCTTCCCATATTTAAAAAAAAATAAAATTACCTTTTATAAAAGTAAATACTATACTTTAAAGTTAGACAAATTTTCATTATTACCTTTCTGTAAAATTTTCCGATCTGTTTATAATCTTAACTTGTAATCTTTCCAAAACTGAACATATTGTCCATAGTCTTAACAGAGACTATAAAAATTATGTATTTTAATCTCAGCTACTAGAACCCAACAGAATTTATAACAGTTCCTGTGACACAGCAGGTAACAGGCTGTGTCACAAAACTATAGGGATTTATCACTAAGTTCACTGACTGAAAACAAAATATTTCTTTTGTGTCAACTACATACTGACACCTAAGACAATATTAATATTTTATCTGAAATGGTAATGTGTTGATTTTCAAATAACAAGCAATAGCATTTCCCGAGCTAAGTAGTTATTCAAGCATGTCATTTTTTTTTTTTCCTATTTGAAGGTATTTTCTACAGAGGTATTAGACTTTAAGTAAAAATGCTTGTTTTCAGTCACATCTCAGGGACAATTCTCAGATGTTATTGAAAAAAATCATTTCATCCAGACTGAAAAAATATCTGCATGAACTTGGTCTCCTTGCTTTAGAACTTACTTTATTCCTTCCTTTCTCCCTTCCAACCCCCCTCCAAAACGTATCTACATTGTAAGTATTCTCTAACTCATCATCACTGCTAACTAGAAACATGTACAGTATAAACAGAAATCAGACTTTGGCAATTTTCCAAACAATTTCAAAGCACTCAGATCTAACTCAACTTGCCAAGTCTCAGTTCTTCTCTGAACACTATGTCAGATAAGTTGAATTATGGAAAGTATCTCCTGTTCATGTTGATCAAGGATCTGAAGAATTAATTCAACTGCCTCACCTCTGAAGAGTTAAAAGCAAAAACATACTGAACTGCACAAAAAATTGACTTACACTTTGTGCACTGACAAGAATGGAGTATGTATCTCTCAACTCCAAGATAAACAGGGACAGTAACTATTGTTTCTGACAGGAGAGATGATGATAGAAAATCACATTTTCATTTTTCATTGAAATTTCACATTTTCAATTTTCATTCATTCAATTTCCACATTAAGTTCATTTACCAGACAACAAAACCTTGATAACAAAGAGACCAGGTCAGAACAACTTCGGACTTATTTCTGCACCTTGCTGAGCAGTAGTTCTCATCCAGCAAAGCACTTAAGCAGATGTCTGATTTAGTGCTCAGCAACTTGCAGAACTGAGCATAAATGTAATACTGTAGTCTCCACTGGGATGGAAGGAGGGTATCTGGTAAGACTTTGCTGTATGCATAACACAACAGAGTAGAATTACAGAGCATAAAGAATGGAGAATGGAGAATTATTCATCATTAATTTCTGGATTCTTGGTCTCTTAAAAGACTCTGAAATTGTGTTACTGGAACCAGAATGATGGAGGTTCCTGTCATGCAGTGAGATGTAGATTGTAAATCCTAGTTTTCCAGCAAATTTAAAAAGTGCAGGAGTAAAGTTTTAAATCTGGTTATATGTTTTTTTAAAATCACAATTAAATTATTTAAACATAGGCTCCAGGATTTCCTATGTCATTGCCTTCAGTAAGATATTACACTAGTAAGCCTCAGGACTTGTTTAGTACTTGGTATTGCTATGCCAGAAACTAGTTTCATATGTATAATGCAAAAACTACTGACCTGCATGGAAAAAAATTTCTAGCACCAACACGATGAAAAGTAGAATTACTTTTGTCAGTACAACTGGTGCTGTACAGAAGGAAAGGTTTCTATGGCAAATAAAGACTGACGTATCTGATTATCAGAAAAATACAGCTGATGCCTAGACTAATATTGAGCCATTCCATTTAACACTGGAATTAGACTATTAGAAGAGGCACTGAAATATCTGCATGCTAAGAAGTGGGGTCAAGAATCTGTACTAAGAGACAGTCAAAATTGACTACAGTAATATTTGGGTTTTTTTCTTTTTAGTAAATATAGGCAGGCTCATTAAATGATCGCTGTCTAAGGGCCTACACAAATATCCACAAACGTAACTTTTCAGTCAGTCTCTTCCAAAAAAGATGCTCAAAGCAGAAAAAGTTTTTCCTGACACACTGTTTGTTGAAATTGAGCCAGATTCCTGATCCCAGCACTGTTTCTCAGAACTATATGAAGACTACATGAATACTTATGAGAGCGCCACATCAGAAGAAGATAGAATCCATTTATCATGGCTTTCTTCAGATCTATGCTGACAAATGCATAAAGAGCTTTACAATGAAACTTCATGTAAAGGCAATTCAAAAGTTTCCTTTTAATTGCAGTTTTAATTAATGGCACATAAATCGTAATTCCTGCTTCTTCCTCTCCCATGCTTAATTCTGTGTGAATAAAGTAAGTCGCAGCATCTTTGTGGCATCTCTTATAAGCTACTACAGAGTTTATGGAGTAGGATCTCTCAGAGGGTAATCACATGCACATACAACATCTGTGCAGTTCATAAAAGGAAGCGGGAATCTTATATAGTCAGGAGAGAAATCTATCAAATAAAACAAGCTAGGTGTTCTTGACGTACCATTGACTAAGCTGGCATTTGCATTATCAGTGGCATTTGCACCTGTTGCACCATCTGTAGCTGAAGGAGGGTGGGAGGAGGGATGGGAAGAATCTACTGAGCAATAATGGATAAAAAAAAAAACAATAAATAATAATAATAACAACAACAACATGAACAAATGCACATGACAAAACAAAAAATATTTATGGAATACTATGGCTTTGTTTTCTCCAAAAATCAATCTGGTTTAAATTAATAAACATAACTTTCAAAAGCAAAACGTCATTACAAAGGTGTTACAAAGTAAGGCAGAAACTCATACATGAAATAATAATAATAAATAATAAATATGAAAAACATTTAACAAAGTTAACAGAGTTGGTGAGAACTGACTGTACACAGTACCATGTACATTCCTTTGGTCCTTTTATGTGTATTTTTTTTTTACTTTAATATAATGTTATGCAAATATTAAAATGGTTGAAATATTTCCCTTGAGTTCATGAGTTTACACAATGCATGGGTAGTTTTAAAATATGCACCATACTACTCAGTATATACAACATTACATAATTTGCATTTTATGTGAGGTTGAATATTATGACATATTATAGCTGATACATCCCAGTCTAACATGGGCTCAGTCTATATTCTGCCATAACCTAGTTAATATGCACATTGATCTGAGTAGAAACATTAAACTTTTCAATATTGTATGTGGAAATGGTAAATATAATCTCAAGGAGAATAATGAGTTATTTTAGATCCAAGTAAGAGACACTACGTAACTGCCAGTTTTGTGATGAAATGAGAAAGGTATCAGAAAATAAAATCCTCTTTCTGTTTTCAGCAATTATCTGTATATTAGAGAAACTGGTCAAGAAATCTTTCCTATCAGAAAGGTGAAAAACTCAAGGAAGGTTCTAGTATTTTATGATGGTCTTTATACTAGAATTCAGAAAATTAGCCTCTACAAATAATAGATAAAAATAGGTTTTGTTTTGTTTCTGTTCATTAATTGTTCTCAATAGAACACAGAATTCCGATAATGAATCCTTATCAAAACTCCTCAACTTATTCAGTACTTGACCCATAGTGACTGTTTCACACTGTACTGGTTTGTTTTTCAAGAAAAATGTTCTTGTTTTATTTACAAAGGTTAAATTGGGAGAAGAAAATAAACAGCATACAGGATTTATAAACACACCCTGTATAACTACATTCATGAAAATTTCAATTGCAAATTTGATTACTGTGATGGTAATAACTTAAAATGTTTTGGTTACTCATGCTTATTTTTTATTCCATTTGGATACTCATACTACCCAGCACAGCATGAACCGCTAACAGCAAATCATGCATTCCAACATTTAATATACTGTAATTTACTTCTGGAGAATAACTGATTATTCAGGCTTAGCATTACGATTTGCAACACGAACAATGCGTGCAGACTTAAACGTTTGCCACGAACAATCCTGTTGATTTGAAATTATTCTTTAATTTAACTGAACTGATTCAAAGACAATTATCTTAATGATTAGTTCAACCCTGATTTGCACCAAAGCTTGCTGGCTAAAAGCCTCATCCTTTCATTTGACATGGTATGATTCTTACTCTACCTGGAAGCTGATGTCCATCCTCCTGTTTCACACCTGTATGATGATTTTTGCAAAATGTTAATGAATGATAAAAGCATACACCCATATAAGACTGAAACAAACATTTATGACTGGCAGGATTTCAGAGAATGGCAGGTTATTATGTGAGAGGTACATTATTTGAGTTTGGGCCTCGATCTGCTGCCAGCTCTGCCCTGGCACTCCTCTGCACTACCACAAAGCTGCTAGCAAGATTAGAAAATGTGATGGAATTTTCTCACTATTATAGCCATACCCATTAAATTCAGTGTCTGCACGAGTTCTTACACACCTCTGTAAGAATCTCTGTCTCTGGGTAGCAAGTTACAACCACAGTGCAGTGCATTACTCTGCTATCTCCAGTTTCTCTGTCTTTGAAGGCGATCCTCACCGAAACGTGAGAGAATCACCAGTGACCTGAGAAAAAAAACGCCCAGAGAAGGCCAACCCAGCTACACAGAGGCCTCAGGGCAGGCAGCTGTCACTTTCAAACAGGTACTGAGTTGCTCCTTCTCACCTACGATACCTTTAGACACTGCCAAAACAGATGCTTCCAGATCTCAAAACACCTGTTCATCGGAGTCTTCCTCTTAATGACCGCAAGACTCGACTCTAAGATATTGTTCAAAACTAGTCTGACATGAAAGAGATTTACTTTGGGAAGTTTCGGTCCTTTTGCTTCTAATGTTCCTAGAACTTACCATGCCTAGCAGGTATTGTGCATTTCTGTGTAGAAATGAAATGGTAAACATTTTGTAAAGTCTTTCATGAAGTAAAAAGGGATTTCCTCAGAGAAACACGAAGTCAAGTGCAACTTGTTGAACATGTTCAGAAATGGAAATTGTAGGTCATGAAAACCATCTGAATTTGGCCTTCCTATCTGAAACTTTAAATTAAAAGGATGGAAATGAAAGAAAAGGTAGAATCACACTGCCTGACAGACACAAAGTAAAACGTTCAGTAAAGCTGTAACTACCTTTTTCTGTTAATACTGAAAACCACTGAAAGAGTGGCAGTGTTTAAAAAAACCTGTATTAATTGGCCCTTAATTATGTCTTAAAGATAAATATTCTCAGAACAAAGTTGGAATGAAAATCTGAAAGCAGACTTGAACAATTTACAAGACTGTATGAACAAAAATTGGAAAGGACGCACATTAAGTCACGTTTCTGCAATAAACCCATAAATTAGCAACTGTTTATGACATCACACTATAATAAGGTGAAGAGTCTAAAGTGATTTCTTGATTTCATTAACTGATACACGACATCAAACTTAAACTCTGTTAACATTTACTGCTACTTTATTCTCTTTTACTATTCTTAGTTTGACCTTTCCTCCTTAAGAAATTACAATGCCTCTAAAGTCACTCACTGACATTAAACAACTAGGCTATCAAAAAGTCACATCTCATCTTAATTTTATTTTTGAAACTCAAAAGACAGACACTATTTCCATGGCCAATCTTTTTTTTTTTTTTTTTTCTGAAAAAAACCTACATAGATGTAAATGCACAAGAGCAAAATCTTCACAAATTTTAGGTGAGTATGGATTTATGTAAAAAAGACACGGCAATGGGAGTATGCCCATGTATCCCTTGCATTTAATTACACACTGAGAGTCTGCAATTTCACACTGGAAAAACATCTTGTTATCCAATGTTTTTATTGGTTAACAGCTTTTGTTGTTTTTCTGTGTGACATGTAATGACAAAAATGTATACAAAAAATGAAGTTTTAAAAATTGTGTTTATTTGTCAAGAACAGAGGAGAACTCTGGCTACACAAAGCCCAAGGGCTTTCTTCAGAGCATCCTTACGTGTTGTGAAATTTACCTTTCTTATCTTTCTTTTCTTCTTCTTCTCCTCCAGCGCCTAGGAGAGTAAAGATGATGCCCGTCTGGGAATTCACACCCACAGCAGTTACAAGCATTCGTCCAGAGCCTTCCATGACATGAGTACCTGAAAATTCGCAATGTACGTTATATATAGCTAAAAAAATTGAAAATAACAACCATTAAATATTTTACACAAGACTTTTACTATGGTACTGAGAGAGATTTGTTACACTTTAGAAATCAATATTGAGGCCAATATAATTACATCCAAAAATAATCCCTGCTGTTGTCTACTATTCTCAACCAAGAATGGATGCTTAACTGGAAATCTTAGGCTGCACATCCATTAACCGCACACATCAGATTCCCTTTGTAAAAGAAATGTTGTCACTAACCAAATTTACATAATCTTGAAAGATAATGGTTTAGCTTCACACAGTTAATTCTTGTAACTTTGAAAACATTGCTTAGAGTTCTGGAAACATTCCTCTGTGACTCTAGTCAAGATTACTTTACACTGACTCTACATGGCATACATTTACTTGAATTAAGTGAAAATATGTGTGCAAGTTCTCTCCTCTTACTCAGTTATGGTTGATTTACAGGCATTGAAAAAATATTTTTGAAGACAATTTCCAGTTCAGCCAGACCCAGTACAATTTCACATCTTCAAACTTGAAAAATCAATACAGAGAAAAATCTTCAAGGGGATGTTTAATTAAATTAGGAGATCCCAAAATAGCAAGAAGAATCTGACAGAGATTTGAAAACAAATTCTGTATGTACAGAGATTTCTATTATTCTAAATCAAAGCATAACATTTTTCTGAAAAGGATCATTTTTTAACCAGGTTATTATCATATTGTTATACTAACTAAATTCCTTTTGAGAAATATTTCATGCTTTATTGTATAGGAAGTTTAATTATAGCTCTTATTCCTATATTGAACCAAATGTTAGGTGCATGTAAGATCACAGCCTCTTAGAAACCTTTTGCTACGAGTTGTGGAAACACAAACAAACAGAAATTCCTAAAACCAATTAAAAGTATTCTGAATTACATTTTGGAAAAATTTTGTTACAGAGCATTTGAAAAACATCAGTCTCTGCAATTGCACACTAGCTATTTCTAAAAGAAAATTGAAATTGAAGAACAATCTATTATGAAATGTATTTAAGACCAGTTACTAAAAGCTTATTAAAAAAAAACTGTCATTGAAGCACAGGAACAAATGTGCTAAGGATGGCATCAAATGACTAATTAGTCATTTCATAAGGTGACAAAGTCTTAATCCAAGAAGTTCATTATTGAAGTATTATTTCAAATGTTTGATAAGAGATATCCTTAGCAGGTAGTGAATTTTAAAATATATAAAGTAGAACAGTAGTTCTCCTATGAAAAAGATGAAAAACAAATACATAATAACCAGAAACTACTGACAGATAAAGCTATTCATTGAAATGGACTTTATATTTTATCCTTTAGTAGTAGAAAATTATGTTATGCCTAGTAAGTGTAAATCACTGTGAGAACAAAGAGGAAAAGCAGTTTTTCTTAATAAAAAGTTGACACAGCAAGCTAGGACTGAAAGTTTACTGGGCTTGGATTTAAATACTCTTTCCTGTATTTGAAGAAGGAAGTAGTTTGGAAACTATGAAAACAGAATGTAACAGACTGACTCCTAGTCTTGAGAAAAAAAAAATCATTGTATACAAAAAAAGACAAGATGTATATTTGTACCTCCAAGTGAACTATGGATGGACCATGGTTAACTAGAATCTGCTCAGAAAGAATTTTATTATTGAACAATTGTTTTTAACCCTAGGTGTTACAGTTTCAAATAAATTATATTTTAAGACCAATCATATTCCAGACTTGCAGCTGTGGGACATCAGAAGAATGAGACCAGATGGAATCAGTAATTACATTTTCCCTCAGGGATGGGGGCTGCTAGGAGAGAGAAAGACTTTTGACTCTTCTTTGTTGGTTTAGGAGTCTTTACCAAACAGTTTGACCACTGTGGTAATAAACCAATGACACTGCTTGTAATACTCACTTTACTCGTTGCCTTGTCACTGCAGTATTTGTGACAAAGTACTATTCTTTGCTAGGTTTTAATCCACTGTTCCTTAGATCCTCACCTCACTTCAAAAGTTACATCACTGTTTAATTCATTCTGTAACATCATGAATTAGGTAGAGTCATTACCTGAGCTGTTCTAAGCAATTTTGTGGCTAATGAGGTAAAAATTCTGGTATGCATATTCTGAACTATCTTGTCCACTACCCACTACCATCATTAACTACCACTCAATATTTTAAACCTAAAGTTGTTCACTGATGCCTGTAGTTCTTAAATGTACCACAGCAGGGCACACCTGAAGCCACAGTAAAAAAGAAAAATCTTCAAACAACCTTTCTGCAAACTCCTGCAAAATGGCTTTTAACCAACTGAATTGTGAGCCTGCTGCTGAGCCAATGGGGAATATAATTAATTTCTCATTGAAAATCTTATTGGGCATTCAGATCTACTAAACCTGAATGGCCCTGGAAAGGTTCTTTCTCCCCTCCCTTTTTAAAAAACATTTTATTGGGTTCATCCTCATCTTCATATATTCATTTCATTTAGTTATCTCAAAAGTTGGAAAAGGAAAAATATATGGACCTATGTCCTTAAATAGATCAATATTTTATATATACACATGCACACTTGCAACCTATTTTTTAAAAAATCCCATTTTCTTATTACTGCTCATCCAGTTGCTGTCTTTGAACACACTATGCAATGCAACTATTTATTTATAATCAAGATCTCTTTCTCCAAATAATCAAAATCTCTCATGTTCTTAAAAGGAAAACAGAAACACAGAACAGAGAACATCTGTCAACAGTAAGCCTAATTTGAAAGCATAAATATCTCATCAGAACACTAAGAAAATTTGAGCAGAAATAAGCCAAATAAAAACAAAAATGCACTAATGGTCAGATGTATCTCAGTGCATTGAGAAATATTCTTATGGCTTTCTGAGATAAAAATTGATTCCTTAAAGTCATTTGCTTTCTGTCATATGATAGAATAAAACATCACAAACATACAAACTAGGACCACCACTTCAACAAAAACCAAGTTACATTCAAGCCTAAAGGAACAGAAAAGATCTTAAAAAACAGAATAGGCTTGGTTGCAGTGGTTCAGACAATACAGAAAATGTCTGAGACTTGACTCAGATATTTAGAGGTGCCTCCTTTAAAATTTAAAATATATTTTAATTAAGAACTTGCTTTTAGTATTCCTATGCTTTATTTTGAAGGAACATCCTTCTGTACTGGACTACAAAGATGGATAGATATATCCTCCAAAAAATGGCACGCACACCTATGTTTCAAAACCATCTTTAGTAAGACAACATTAACCCACCAGGTTTCAAGCTTACCTCTGCACACCTGAAAAGGGAAAAAAAGTCTTAACTTAAAATGCCTTTCTGAACCCTTTCTTAACATTAGTCTTGTAAAACATAATTCAGAACTGTTAAGGTACATACAAAAGCATGTTTTAGAGCAGGTACTAATTTATTATCAGATTATGTTCCACTAGGACTATTGGAAAAATTCTTCAGCATCTAAGCTAAACCAAAGAGCTGAACCTCCTTCCACCCAACTCTGGCAATTTCACTATTTAAATGGTATTATAATTATACTAGCTTAAATAAAGAAATGGGTTCTATGACTTCCAGCAGCTATTGTTCTATAAATGGAATTCTGGGATTAATGCATGTTTTTCACTTATCTGTGCACTAAGCATGTATTTCAACTTCATGTTGAACAATTCTACTGACTTCTTTCCCTCTGAAGACTCATTTTTCACTATTAGTACAATACATTTTTTCACATGCTGAGTATTTAATTTGAAGTTGATAAAAGGTGAATATTCCAAGATAGAAAAGGACGAAGTCCAATTTAGTAAGAGATAAACAGATTAGACAGATAAGGAACCTATTACAGCACATACCTTTCAGATAAAAACGTAACTAAACATGAGACAGCTTAGAAACTCTCAAATCTAATAATAGTACTGGTGAAAAGATTTGAAACAGGGCTAAAAAAAACAAGAAAACAAAACCCAAGCATGCCAGTTTGGGACTTTTATGCTTTTTTGCTACTTCCAGCAAACTTCTGATGAACAAAAATTTTCTATCAGCATATCTGAACAACCGCTTTAGTCACTGCAATTATTACGTGAACCAACCATCAGAATATACTCTTATGAAGAAAAAGAATTTTCCAGAAAAAAACTCATCTACGAGTAATTTCAACATACCCAAATAATTTGGAACTTTTGAAATTAGCTGCTCAGTTCTGAAAATTTCTGCTATGCTAGAACCCTAGTTTGGAATATTTTCTGGCAGGGAATTAAGACAGAATCAGAACTATTTTTCTTCAGGTAATAACTGACCCGATTCCTTAATCAAGCTTACTTTTTATTTCAAAAATCTAACAAAGCACCATGACCAAGAGATTTCTTTTATTTGTTCTTGAACAAGCTCCATTTTCTTTGTTTCAAACCCTTGTTGCACACTGACAGAAATACACATTTGTAAAAGTTAGCTTAGGATAACATTCTGTCAGTCTCAGTTCAGTGAGAATTACACTAGGTGAGCTCCTGTGTGTAATTCTTTCATACCTTAACCAAATTTAAATATCCAGAAGAAAAATGAGTAGCAGTGAGTTTGGTTACCCAAGCTGTCTTCATCTGTAGGCTGACAGATGCCACGCTCAATGCAAAGAAATTTAACGTCACCACAGTCTCATTTAAGCTGATGAGTTTTGATACTATGGTTTATGCTACACCATGCATGCAAACCTCTGTTAAGGAACTAAAAGAAGGAACATGTTTGAGACAGGAGTGCAATGGAACTATAGAAGAGAAGCTGCTTTTTTTGGTTTCAGGTATACCAGAGTCTGTATTTCTACTTCTGCCTTCCTAGGTGGTACCAAATGTGCTATATACAGATGGAAATGAACCATCTGGTTTAGTCAGCACTTACACTCTTAGAATTGCTTCTCAAGTACAGTGAATGACTATCTGGATGATTAAACAGGACATTAAGCAGAGAAACTCATTTAGTTTAATTATGTCATTGAAATTGATTGTATATTAAAAATGTTGTTTCAGGTGCCAATGGTGAAAATATTACTGCCTGATTCAGCATGTTTATCTTTCACCAAATCTAGACTCACAAAACAAACTGTGCCTGCAGTTCAAATTTACCTTTTTTTCAGTTATTCCTCTCTGATACCTAAACTGTTTTCATTTCTGACAGATTAGTAAGGGAGAACAGTGGCAAGCAACATCCTCACAATATTTGTCTAAATTCCAGAAGCCTACCTGAAGATAACTTACTGATGTCTTCAGGTGCAAAGATAAGAGGAAAATTTAAGGTCTGTTTGATGTTTTTGCAGGGGGTTGGGTTTTGTTTTGGTTTGGTTTGGTTTTTTTCTTTAAACAAGTTTTATAAAAATATAGGTCTAGGTTAACATTCAACAGGAACTCAGTTTTTAAACCAGGTCAAACCCACTTTTTTGGGTTTTGAACTACTAACGATTTCCAGTGGGCACATTAGCCCCTGCATCATTGGGATTAAACCTTGCACTGTATCTATGGAAGAATGTGGGGTTTTGCATGGCAGAATCTCAAATCATCAACTCTGCTCCTGAGCAAACAGAGTTCAGGGATTTTCCAGCATGTCATGAGCAAAAATTCATTAGTATACATATGGAACAAAGATGTGTGCAGCGCTTGTTAGAATGTCACATTAATTCTTGACCTTCTTTGTAGTTGCAATAGAGAAAAACTAAGAGTATAAACTTTATTTAACTCTGCAATAAAAACATAGAGACAAATCTGTTATAGCAAAGAAATCTGAGTTTTGGGAAGCAAAAGAAACATGTCTGCTCTCCTAACTTGACTGCTTTCCTTTTCTCTTCCCACCATGCCTTTCAGGGCAAGACTTTCATGTTTGTTCACAGCCGCCACTGAAATCAATGGGTATTCAAAAAGATCTGATTCAATTTAGGAATATGTGAGAGCATGCGAATCAACAGAAACTTCACAATCAGAAAGCCTCTAGAATTCAACAACAGGATATTTTAATTGATATGTCTATGATACTTCATGATAGAAGTTTCTATAAGAAAATATCATTGCTAAAACTATCACTTTAAAATGAAAATTTTTGTGTCAGTGATGAAGCTATAGCTATATTTACAAAATTACAACCATCAGCTAACAAAAAACAAATGGAGAAAAATGCACAAAAATTCAAGGACAACATTGGATTAAAATATTTATTAGGAATAGCAACCCTTCCTCATAATATCACTGCAGGCTTCCCTGTTTATACACTGAAAAGCATCTCTAAAAAAATTTTTAATCTACACTCAAGATAAGCCTAAATATCTGCATTACTAGGATAAATCAAAATATTGTAAATCTAGAAAAAATAAGTCAGTAGTTTCACACACTACTTATGAAAGTCTGAACACTTCCTTAAATTACCTTACAGTACATCAAGGAGCCAGGGGGACACCAACAATTCAAAAGTGGCCCTGTCCCCACTACTCAGCATTTCTGTATGTGTGTTGCCTGCAAATGCTGAGCTCGTCATTGTATTTTCTCTGCACAAATGCAGCCTTTGGAGTTTGCAGCTACTCCACTAATCTTTATTAGCCTCTGCTGAACATGTGCAAACACATTTTTCAGACATTTATAACTCGGACAAACTTGGGGTTTTATAACATGAACAGCAATAAGCATACACTTGGAAGGGACGCTGCAGCAAAAACATTTAACAAATAAAAATAAGAGTATTTTTAAAGAAACAATTTTTTTTCCCAAAAGAGCAAAAGATATTTTTTTGTTTTGCTGTTTTATTCTCAAAAGCAGTAGGAATTTTTTGTGTCACTTGAAAAAAGTAATTTTTAATACACATTTTTAGGCAGAAAGATGCTTGAAGCTTTCTAAAGTTAAAATTAATTAACATGGTCTTTCTGTAACATAAATCTGTGGCAATGGCAAATCTACAAAGAACATTAGCAAATTTCTTCATCTTAAGTTAATGCAGCCACCTTTTGACTTAAATCTGACGATTTTTTATCAGACCATAATACCGTAATTTACATAATAAACACTCATAATCTCACAGTCAGTCAAGTAATTATCTGAATTTAAATTTGGAAAGAATTTGCAGTTAATGCAATGAAAATTGTCGTATCCTTACTTGTCGCTACTTGTGTCTTCTGAACAACATCATCTCCTAACAGTGAGGCAGGATGGGGGCAGGATTCCTGCAGGAATGTGTATTTACTTGCTGCATTGCAACATTAATGTTTTATTTGGGATGACTCGTGGCTGACTGTACCACCAGACAGCAAAGAGAATCCTTTCAATGAATAAAAAGTCCAAATGTATTTGAAAATGACTGTCTCAGGTTATAATACGCTGATGATCACAATGAGATCAGTAGGCCGTTATTTTGTGATCACATCCTAGATGAAATCTATTGACAACCAACCTATTCAGAAACTATTTTTATTAGAATTATAATACAAAATACAAATACTAGAAATAACTTGAATTTGCCACAGAAGTCAAGCCCACAATACCTTAGTATATGTTTCCTTCTAAGCACACTGTTTCTTTTTCTATTGTATCTAGTATACACAAAGTTTTTAATGAGACTTTAAAAGGTTTTGAAATTTAATAGTTAAATTAAAAGTAGCATACAATGAATTGAAATGATTGTTATTTCCCTAAGTGATACTTTCCTTTTCCTCTGAAAATGTTTCATTACCTTCTCACTTTATAAAAAAAAAAAAAAGTATGATGATCATAAATATTTGCACACAATCAAAAAACAATAGCACATCTTTTGAATGACAAAGAGACAAGGCCCGTGTCTGTGTTCAAAAGATCAGTTTTATCTAGGTTACCAAAGCCTGATGGCATGGAAAACTAAAACCAAATGAAACATGAACAAAGCAGTGCACAAAAGATAACTCAGCAAGAATTCAGGCAGATTTACCTGACAGTAGCATTGGGTCTTTGTCAACAGATTTGCGGACTTGGTCTGACTCTCCAGTTAAAGAGCTTTCATCAATTTTAAGATCGTTTCCTTGAATAAATATCCCATCGGCAGGTAGAAGATCACCTTTCAGTAAAAACATGGTAATGGAAAACCACAGAGGTTTAGTAAGATTGTTTTTAGAATTACATGATGGTTTTTATTATAAAATCACAATTAACAACAATTGAACTAAAATGTAAAAATTAAAGCAGAAGTGAAAAATTTTTTACTGAATCTGTCCATATTAGCCATAGTATTGTGATCCCATGGGGAAGAGCTTTTGTACTGCAATTATTTTTTGCCTAATGCTAATCCCAGAATGAGAAAATATCACATTTAACATACAATGAACATAATAATCACTAAGATTTGGCATGGGGAGTACTCTTCCCAACATGACATGAAGGTTGCTCTATCAGACCTCATAGGAATTAGCAGTGACAAATAAACAGTCAAGCTGCCCTTTCCCCTCCCCCTCTCAGCAAGCCCTTAGCAAAGTCCAGGAGAAACTTGATGGCTGATGGAACGGGCATTTTGCTGGAATTTGCCAGCTCAGTCAAACACAGAGTACACAAAGTTCCTGCAAAAGTCTTCCTGTTCATTGAAGCACGGGGGTTTCCCTATGGCATATAATTCTAAGGCATCCATCTACTAGAAGCATCCAATCTGGGGGGATTTACAGGATCCAATACCTCTGGAGCAGCCTACAAAGTGGGGTGAGCACAGCGGTACAATTCCCTTTCACAGAGCATTTAAAAATACTTCCTCTTATTCCTAACTGGACAGGAACAAAAACTTACAAATAGTGTAATCCCCCATGAAAGAGAATTTACCATTGTGTGAACAGCTCTTCTCCTTGTCAGTAAAAGGAAGTGAAAAATACAAAAATCAAACTAATTATCTAGTGCAATTTTATAGCAAGTACCTTAGGTTTTCCTTTTGCCCTAAGAGCCAAACTGTTATCTTACCATGGACGATAATGACAACACAGAGGTCTTTTAAATCACTTCCAGTGAAGTGAGTCTATGCTGCTAGAAAGGGAAAGGAGAATAAATAAATAAAGTTCAGAAAAGCAGACATCTAGCTGATAAAACTTACCATATTTCACCTGTGCAATGTCACCAACTACTATCTCTGCCACTGGGATTTGGATAACCTGTCCACCCCGGACAACAGTAAATTTCTGTTCCTGCTCAATACGACTTTGAAGCCCACGAAACTGCTTCTCCTTGCTCCAGTCATTGAAGGCAGTGACAAGTACAACACAGATAACAGAGAGTAGGATGGCAGCACCTTCGATCCAGCCAGCTTCAGCCTCACCTTCATCTTCAGCTCCTCCTGTTGCAGTACCACACCCTGCAAAGACAACATTAAGAATCATTCAGTCAAGTGAAGATTGGTTTTATCATGTTTATCACAAGAAGAAAAACTTGCTGTGAAATGACAAGGTTAAGGAATAGAACTGCTTTTCTATTCAGAGTAGAGAAAACGTAGAAATAAACATGTCTGAGGAAAAGAGAAAGAAAACAAACCAATAGAAATTTTAGATCGTTTACTTATTCTACTGAACAAGATATCCTTGATAAACCCAAACTAAATAAATGGAAATGGAAAACACCAATTCTGTTACCTAATAGAAGGGTTGACAGCTTCAGCTGTGCCATCAAACATTTCCAGAAATAAGGAAGACTTACTAAAATTGGCAAGAAAAACTAAAACAATGAGTAACATCAATCAATGCAATGTAATGGCATTAAGATTAAAGAAAACTGATTAAATTAAAACAGATTTAAGAAATAATTTTCAATACAATTTCTAAATGTTCTCAACTAAACACACTTATTAGGAACACGTTTAAAAATACTGAGATGAACTAAGTATATTAGTATTTAAATGTGATAATGAAATGTATTAGGGTACACTGAGTAAAAATAATAGCCTAATATTAATTCATCATTCTGCCTTACAGATAAATATAGTAGCATGCTTATAGAACTGCAAGTGTATTATTTTTATCACAAGCAAAACAGTATTAAAAAAATACATTCTATGTATTAATTCTGAAGTGTAAGTTCTCAATCACTTTATACACATCTGCTAAGTATTTATTTCAAAGTAATACGCAAAATTTAAATAGATTTCCCAGATAGCATTCACAAAATAAAACTAATAGAGTTCTCCTTGTCAATGAAATAAGATATAAAAAAGATAATTTATAACAGTGGACAGCAAAGTACACATACTAGAATCACACAATTCAGATATATCCCAACTGACAGGAGAGGAAAGAAATCCCAAACCCTCAGTCTGAATAATACAGCCTCCTCTCCTGAGTGACGAGGGAGAAAAGAAAGCTGAACTAGGAAGGTATTTGACATCACTTTGCATCTTATCCAGGTACCGGGGAGTTCAGCAACTTAGCAACCGTGTTGCTTCCATCCATGACTAAACTTTAATTTTGGTATATTTGTCACCTGTCACTAGAGGGAATTAACAAGCAATTTGATTTCTATTCTTAAGTTACAAAGATTTCCCTGTAACATAAGCATGATAATTCATTAACCAGCTGAGCAGGTACTCTGGCTTATGAACAGTAACAAAATTACCAAAAGTCAAGGGAAGAAAGATGAGACTGAACATCCACTAAGTGAACAGAAGAAAAATTAAAATAAGGGGAGTTTTTACCAATGTTCTCTGTAGTTTAAATTTAGACTTAACCTAACTGAAAGGCAAAGCATGCTCCCAAGAAAAGGGTCTTTCCTAGCATGGATGGCCTTAGACTGATGACCCACAGGAACCTTTATGTGCAGTACAAGAACCTTGCCAAAGAAACCATTTTTATAGCAATCAAGAAAGAAATTAAGTAACCTTTTGTAAATTCAGTACCTTAAACTACTTAAAACCAGTTGCAAAGGCAACTTACAAACGGTATCTGCGATTTCTTCCTTCAGCAGAACATTATTTTTGGGAGGAATAATGAACTTTGCTTTGTTTAACCTTTAGCATCTTAATTGGTCTATGTTAGATTTTAGATTCCTTTTCCAAATCAGTAGATTCACATTTGCCTTGTCGAATTAAGTGGTTTCCTAGTACATTGAATTCTGTTTTGGCAAATATAAGACAAGTTCACCATTCATTTTTCATTAGATGTGATTTACAATCAGGTATCATGAATATCCTGTTCTTTTTAACAGCATACTGCCTCTCCTGTTTCTCAAAAAAATAAACATGGCCTGGTCTAGCCACAGTCAAAGACTGATTTTATTTCTTTTTTAGATGGTTGAAACTTAGTCTAGCTCATACAAAATCCAAAAGGTGTTGTTGATCCCTCCGTCCATGTTAACTAACAGTAACATGCAGACTGAACCACAGAGGTGGGCAGCTCAGTTCTTCAGTGCTTTTAGGCATTTCCACTGGGGTGATATTTATTTACTTTTTTCTGCAGCATGCTTTCTTATGCTTTCACTGAAAATCTTTGATTTCTGCATATGGATTACTGATCATTTATACCTTGGTATCTTCTAAGAAATCACGAATTAACATTATGTAATACTTAATGTAAGTTTATAATTTGACCTGTATCTGCATACCCCCCAAAATCAGTCATTTGAAAGACACAAGCTGTGCTTTGTCCTTCATTATAAGGATGCTGTTATGGCTCCAGACATGTGTAAATTTTATAGTGATATTAGATGATTAGAATATCCTCTCTCTACAGCAGAAAGCTATCAGTTTTGAGAAAGCTATTATTCCAAAGAACCAGTAGGTCTGGTCAATGCCTCTGAGATGTGTGGGAGAAACAAAACCACAGCTAGTCAGTGCACTTGAACCCAGTGCTAACACACTGTGCTTTGAATAACGGAGTGTAATATTTCTACATCCCTTCACAACAAAAACAAAATTCTTGACTCAGTAAAAATGGATAAAAATAAAAATATTCACTGACGAGAAATGAAATTAATTTTCTATGTATGTGTTGTCAGGGCTGATCTCCGTGTTAATATAAACGCCACTCCTAGTATGTTCATATAATCAGAAACATTAGTCTAACATAGCATGCAAATAATACAAGATGTTATCATTAAGATGAAAGGAATTGTGTTTACCTGTCTCATAGATTATGCACAAAGAACATAATTCACTCTTCATGTTACAGCTGAAAAAATGTTTGTAAGTATGGAAGAAAATCTGAAGAAAACAGACTGAACTTAGATCAAGTTCTTGGAAAGTGTCCCTAAATTTCACAAGCTTCTGCACTGAATTAATGATTTTAACCTTAAAACCCTGAGAAAATTCTCCATAACACAATGGAAACAACAAAAGATCAATGCATTTTATTTACATTTCATTCAAACAGACAATTCTACATTCAGATGGAGAAAAGGTATTTGGAGGGGAGGAAGGAATTCTTGGAGTAAGAACCAGGAGTAGAGAAATTAACTGATAGACATGGTCAAAACCAGAAGTTAGTCTTTCAAATGGACGGAAGAGAGGGTGAGTTGCTTTATGGATTTTAGAATCCTTACCGGTCAAGATTCATTCTGGCTTCTATAAAACTGCAAGTGTTGCTTCTTACAGTGATCCATTGGTCCAGGTTATCTGACACACTAAGAGGGAAACTTACCATAGAGGTGGACAGGTAGCATGAAGCAGACAGCTCCCACTGTTTTTATTCAATATGACTCAGAGGTAAAACAGTCAACCAGGATATGGGAGACAAATCCTTTTTATTTTTCCCCCTCTCTCTCAAAGAATCAGAACTCAGGATGACAATTTTGAGGACCACAAAAAAGGTTTATATTATACAAATGGGAATCTTACTGCCCTGCCTGCAGGTGGGCCAACCATGTCCTCTCCTAAGCACCACGAACACATGTGCTCCTGCCTGCTCTAGCCAATTCCCTCATCTAATCCCACATGTTAGACAAATGGTGCTTCTAAGCTATGAGAAAAAAACAGTGCTTCATTATCAGTATGTTTCGGGTTAGGAGAAACCAGAATTTCAGCTATGTAAGGAGTCTGAACATAAAGAACTTCAAGTTCAAGAAGCAGCAGCTGAGCGAAGCTTCTGAATATCTAAGATTTGCAGGTAGATAATTCTGTGTAGATACTTCTAACAACAGCTCAGAAACGAAATTGCCTTTTTTGTGGATTTAGACTAATATAAATAAAACTAGGCTCTTTAAATGATTAATCAAGCCGATCACCAGATTTTCCCAAAATCTTGTCTTTGGTTTGTACAGTCCCTCAGAAATGAAACGGAATAGGAGTGCTAGATAAATTAATGCAAAATATGCACATCATTCTCATTATAGGAATAATCTCTAGCAACTTTGAGGAAGTAAATTCTTACAGTAGTAAGATATCAGAACAGATTTTTTTTAAACAGAGGCTTACAGACAAGTAGGATTTCAAAATGCAACCTACCCTTCAAGAGATGACCTGTCAGGAAACATTTTTTTGAACTATGTTGTGTTCTTGCTTCAAAACTATTTTAGAATTAGTTCCTTTTAATAGAAAAAATAAAAAATAAAAGAAAACATCTCCACTGGTGTAAGTTTGTAAAATTCTTTTTATATGCTTAAAGAAAAACAAATTTTCTTCTTTTTCTTCTGTCATTATATCACGCAGGATTTTCTAGAAATTCTATAGAGCCATATAAATGCACAGGAAGAAATGGTATGTATTCATAAGAGAAAAAAAAACCACATACTTATTAACTATATACTTACACTATCTGTCCTCCTTACTGTAGTACATAGAGTAACACAGTATCAACTTTACAGATAAGGGGGAAATAAGGAATATAAATAAGACACACGCAAGACGTAATAACAATATGCTTAAGTAGCAAAATATAAGTTAAAGCATCTCATGTTTATTAAGAATGTTCAAATAAGCTTTAAAAAATTGTGTTAAGGCATAAGATTGCAGTTATGCTTTCACAAGACAGTACTTGGTTCACAATGTTACCAAAAAATATGCCGGAGATTTTAGGGAAGAAGGCTGAAAGCATCACAAAAGAATTTTTAATATGCATATATAATTTGTGGTAGGGTTTTATTCCAAGACTCTGAATTGTAAAGTATTTGTTTTAAATTATATTTAACATAGGTCCTATCTGTTAGAAAATTCAATTTCAATTTCAAAAAAGTAAACAAGTTTTTAATATTAAGCTATTTTCTACCATAACTATGAACATATGCCATGTGTGTGTCATTCCCCAAAGTCTCATCATCATCATGAGACAGAAAATGAGTACTCAGTTTAAAACCGAAATTATGAAGTCAAAAATGTAAAGGGCTGTAACTCCTTTGACAAAAAGCAGATGAAGTCATAAAATGGATTAGTTTATT